AGTATCTTCAGAAGCATCAACATCCATTTGAGATACTGGACTAGCAGTCACCGTACGAGAGAGAACATATGGCGGAGAATCACCTTTTGCTGTAGATGGTTTTACTGCAGTCACCGAATTGATTTTAGCTGTTGTTGGGAACGCCTCTTTTTTTATTGGGCTTGCCTCTTTTTTTGTCGGGGTTATACTCTGCAAGCTGTCTGTCAAATTTTGGGATCTACTTAGTGTTTCATTCTCACTTTTAGAAGAAATATTCTTCTGAAGCATCTCCACTTTCGCAGAATCTGAGAAAAGGATGAGAAACAGTCAAGGTTAAGCACAAGGCACTAACTTCTCTTGTGAAACTTCAGCTATAAAGGAAAATTATTGCAAGGTATTTACTTTATAGACAAGTAATCATATGATGAACAGGGCATATTTCACTCTGCAAACTTTTTAGAATTCATATGCAGAAATACACACTCCTGTACTTTGGCAACTTCAAAAGAGAAGTCTTGAGTGGGACAGGAATTAAAGCCTGGAAACACATGCTTTCCAGATTAGCATGCCAAAGTGTCCCTGAAAAATTTAGTATGCGTATTTTCCAGACTTAGAACTTCAGAGACATGTCCTCCCTCCCTCTGTGGATTTATGATGTCTTGTAGAATCATATAGGATTAGTATTTTCCCCATCATCAAACTCTTTCTCCCACATAATTTGCTGAGGTCTACGGAGGAAGAAGTTCTCAGTAAAGCTTATCCTGCAGTTAAAAGTTTTTAATCTTTCACCACTGCATATTTTACCAACAAAAAGAGAGAACGTGCTGCGATACCTCCTTCAGTCAGGACACAAGCTCCTAGCATCTCTTCCCAGGCACTTATTTTTATTAGATTTGCAGACACAGAAAAAGATTTCCAACCTTATGTTAACTCAAATGAAACTAGCAAACCACAGCTTAAAAAACAAAGCTGAAGGACAGACAATCTGACTGCATATGCTCCTGCAGGAAAGCCTTTTGTCGGCAGCAAATTATTATAATGAAGTAAGCCAGCAACAGCACCACGTAACAGTGCACCCTTAGGCAAATTCATAATCTCTCCAATGCTAGGATGGCTTTACAGAACTACATAAAACACAAGCTGAGCATTAAAACCACATGCAGGGCCCATCATCCCTTTTCTCAATCCAATGGAAGGTAAAAAAAGATGCAGAGGGAGTTCATAAACAGCCAATGGGTTTTTAATCCTAAAAAAAAAATAGAAAAGAGCAAACTCCTAATGTTTACAGCATGTCACTTCCAGATTCAAATCAGGAGGCACCTTAAAAATGAAGAACACATTTTAGACTTTCCGTACACATCATAATTTAAATAGTGGGACAATACTTGCCTTGTATTTTGGCATGCCAAACTACTTTTTAGTTTTTCTATTTTAAAAAAGTAACAATACTTTCATTAAGCACTCCCAAGGACCTCCCTGGTTCACTGGAAAGTTACAGATTCTAGAAATGAGCATTCAAGCAACTGCTTGTGTCAAATTACTCCTAAGTAAAATATTATACAGGGGACACTGAATCATGTTATTCATGAAATGTGTATTTACAGAGGATCAGTTACACAGACTTCTTGTTTACGTGGTACACCTTCCCAGTATGAATTACTCTTTAACTGTAAAACAGAGAAGACTCAACTAATCCCACATGAACTAGACATTATGGTGCCTCTCTGCTGAAGTTCAAAGCCAACTACTTTACATTTAACACACTTACTGTTGCTGAAGAACCTACTAGTCTGAATTATCGTATCAACATTAACTTGTTCAGTTCTTGTACAGGACAAGTTTAGGGAATTCCTATCTCCCCTCAGGAGTCAAGCCAGCTAATTACATACATGGAGATAAATATGATGAAAGGCAGCTGCAAGACAGTTTCATATTTATAGCTAGTTGGCATGTTATGAGTGAGGCAGGTAGACCTTACCGCAACCCTCACCAAACAGACAAAAAGTACAGCTAAATTGTCTGAAATATAAACAAGCATGTTTTTCCTACAGAACTACACTGCATGTATCCTTACACTTCAAAATATTCTTAAACTCATTTTAACATGAAAGTTTTAGAAGGATATATGCTTAAACACAAGGGACTCCCACCAGCTAATGCTGCAGCTTCAGACTGAGAAAGAATAATTTCCTATTATTCCTAAAAGAAGTTATTTTTTGTTTTAATAGGAGTGGCAAGTTCAGCAACTACACCACAATTATTTATGACATCTACCCAAAACTATCTGGCATTATAAACGGTGGTTGCGCTGTTTACAGTTACACAACACTGTCAGGTGATACTAGACACAGTGCCTGGACTCCAGAAATGCCTCAGCTTGAGAAATAGATATTAATGTCCAATCACAGTGACAGAACTAGCAACACAGTCCTCTTAGTAAACACTGTACATAAAAACATCTGACGGGGTCAAAATTCACTTCCAGGAAAACTTACTTATTAGAAAACAAGTTGTTCCATGATTTTGAAGTTAAAAACTCTTGGTTTCCTACAGGTTTCTGTCCCACATCCTGAACCTTTTCCTTCATTACTAGACCAGGTGAGGGGCACCACAAGTAGAGCTGGTTTGAATATACTGACTGACAAGCAAGAAAAGAACTGCCAGCTCAAAACACCCCCCTTCATTTCCTTCAATAATTCCCTTTCTCTTCACTGCCCAACCAACAGTGCATCTAAAACAAAGAGGAATTCACTGCACTTGAAATATGTATTTCTTATTAGCATTTGCTTGCAGTTGGTTTGTAGGTTGAGGGCAAGTGGTAGAAAGAAAACGGACATAACTTAGGAGTCAACTTGCAGAATAACATCAACTTATTTTCGGGGGGGGGGGGGAGGGGGGCTAAAAACAGGCACCTAACTAGAATAACTAGAACAAAATATTAAATCGGATGAGCGAAGCAGACAGTTAAACCGATCTTCGTAGCAATAAAACAAGGTCAACCCCCGCCGAGGCAGCAGCACTTGAC